TCCGTTGCCTCCTCACTTCCTTCCTCTCTCCCTCCCTCCTTTCTTCTTTCCTGCCTACCTGCTTTCCTTCATTTACCTTCTCATAGATGAGCCCCAACAAGGCCGTTTTAAGCTTCATTCCCACTAAATAACAGTGATGAAGGTAATACTGGAGTAAAAAGGACTGTATAATCGCTGTTAAAAACATAGCTCCGGCGAAGATATATCCTTTCCATACTGCAAGCTTACTGTTTCGGTCCTCTAAGTATTCGATCAGCAAACTATAGAATTAAAAATAATAATAATTTCACTATATTGAGAGTTAAATTCTTTATGCGTGTTCACTGATCAACGCCCTACATAGTCTCTGGCAACTGGAATTACATTCTCTGCGGCCTAACTGGATTTACACGAGTCGCGTAAATCTTTCCAAAATGAATCTCAATTTCAGTTTTCAAGACTATAAAAATTGGATACATCATTTTTCTTTTTGTGTATGATGAAGTACAAATTAACGCTTAATAAGACTTACTTCAGTAGCTGTGGTTGTACAAACTGCACTGTATCGTATGCGAGTTTGAAGACAGCTGCTAAAACAAAATTCTGCCAAAATACTTTGGCTATTGCTCGCACCAGACTTGGCTTTCTCTTGCGGACGTTTGTCTGGGGTTGTGAAAACTCGACTTTGTCAGCTTCCTCAGACTCCATAGCTCTGTTAAACGTTGAATGATCAACTTGCTTTTCGACACTAAAGAAAATAAACGTGGAATTACCAACAACTTAAATAAGCAGTCTTCTTCCCACTGTAACCTCGTTCCATTTCTTTTGTCTTGTTTGTTTGGTTTTTGGTTCATTAGTTTGTTTGTTTTTGTTTTTGTTTGTTTTTTGAGGAGGGCGCGGGCTGAGGAATGTACACTGTGACTAAAATTTTCCTGAACAGACACAACCATTTGAAGCCAAGTTTATCAACGATGATAATAAACGAAACTGCATGATTAACAGCTAGGGCTAGCCTATGGACTAAACATATAAAATCAATGGGAAAATTATTTCAATAATTTAGCATTAACTCAATTTAGTCACTTAGTTTAGCCATTAAAATGGCTGTAGTCGAGTAATCTTACAGCCATTAAAATGGCTGTAAGATCGTGAGAATGGTGCAGGTGATGTACACTAACTGCACAAGTGCAGTGGTTGATGGTGACGGAAGGACAGAATGGTTCGAGGTGAAGTCGGGTGTCAAGCAGGGATGCAGTATGTCTGGGTTTTTGTTCCTCTTGGTGATAGACGGGGTAATGAGGAGAACAGTTGCCCATGCAGGGACAGGCATTAGTTGGAAGATGACAACTATGCTAGAGGACTTAGACTTCGCAGACGACCTGGCTCTCATCTCAAGCACATACACACAGATNTAGCCTATGGACTAAACATATAAAATCAATAGGAAAATTATTTCAATAATTTAGCATTATATCAATTTAGTCACTTAGTTTAGCGATTAAAATGGCTGTAGGCGAGTATTAGCTAGTGAGAAAACAATGATTTCATAAATTCCTTCTGAGCCACTAAACATGGAAACAGCATAGGGTGCGTAAAAATATAACCTTGGTGAGATTCGTGGTCGACATTTTTGTTTTCTTATTTTCATTACACTAGTGCCATTTACAAACAGCTAACGATAATTCAATTAGGTTAAAAGTGCGTTCTTACTTGTGAACCTGGCCCCAGTTGTTTGAAGGCTGGACAACGCTATCCACCGGATAAATCGCTATCCAGTGGGTAAGTGATAACAAAACAAACCATGCTATCCACTGGATAGTGATTTATCCGTGGACAGCGTTAAATACCTTTCGTACAACCCGGGCCTGCCCTACAGTGCAATTTCTGTGTATAATAACACCTGAAATCTTTCCAGTTCAGGTTTTCTAATCACGAGCGAAGATGTGGGCTTTTATATTTTTAGGGATGTGACGTCACAATACGACGTCTTTTGAAATGTCGATCACTATAGATCTGCTATACATGTAGATCCAAAGTTCTTACTGAAAACGTTTCCTTTGTTCCTCGGTCCAAGACCCTTTTAGGCGGGGTACCACATTCGAAGCCCGGAAACGCTCACTCAGGGCCCATAAATCGCTGTCATCAATGGGCCTCTTGTACCCTGATATGATCAATCTAAAAGAAACATGCATTAGTCAACATCAGCTTTATACATCAATTAAACTGCTTCTCACTTAAATACAGATGAGACTCTTAAACACCTTTTATCTTTTCCCTAAAAGAGTTCGGCTAAGCAATTTGAATAATACAATCTCTAAAAAGCAATACATGGAAATTGGTAGAGAGAGGCCTCAGTACAAGTTCTGATCTGAAGTTCTGGTACAGATTTGAAATTTGGATATAAAGACTTCCATATGGACTTGTTTGAAAAATGATGTAGCCATGAAGCAGTCAGAAAACAACAACAACAAATTACAGTAAATGCCTCCTTTTGTATCCCCTTTTAACTTTACCAGTTACATACGTCAGATAGGATAGAAGCTATAGCGACTGGTTGGATCTGTTTAATCTCGAATTCAGGATCTTGGCTTCTCGTAAATGATCCCCTGATCCCGTGATCAGGCATCATTTGAAGTCCGAGAAATCTGTGTATGAGCAATTCAAGAGAAAAGCATTTTCAGATGCAACCGCATGCTTTGCAATAAGTGAACGGCGAAAGCGTAAATTAGAAATTCTTAAGGTCGACTGTTTCGATTAATATTCAAAAGAATATTTTGGGAGCTCTTGGCTTTGATAAACGAGATGATATTCTTTCATTTCGACTAAATTTCCACAACAAAACACTTTAAAAAAAGAAATAACAAAAGTAGAATAAATAAAATAAAATAATAATAAAAAAAAGATTACAAAACTCTGCACTTCACAGAGATTAAGCTATTTTCATTACTCATTTGACGTTCGGGTGGATTTCACCAGGTGGTTATCTACAGAAGTCAGAAAAGATATCGGTGCGAGAATATTATACCCATCTGCCAGGTTCGATGTTTTGGTATTACGTT